TTTCTAGTTTTGAAGAAATAAAATACGATTATACATTTATAACTAGGAACACGGAAAATATTAGGCCAGCCGTATGGGAATGCGCGCGGCGCGGCGGGTCACATGTTTGATAACATTACGGTGTTAAATAATTCGCAATTTTTCTCGAAACTAAAAAAAATATTAAAAATCAGGAAATTMRTGAAAWTAMAATTTTGAAACGTCAATATTTTCAGAAAAATAAACTCAACAAAATGGCTATCTTTAATTTTTTTGGAAATAATTAAATAAAAATAATATATTTCTTAAATTTTTTACGAAAACATTAAAATAAATTTAAAAATTAAATAATTGTAGTTCATATCCCTATGCATCTTATTATAAAAACAGAATTTTGATATCTCCATTATTTCGTAAGATATCGCAATGGTAAATCCTCGCGGGACATCCTGTATATCTACACAATCATTCTTTTAATCATCATATATTTGTGACTTATTACTTACCTATTAGTTACTTTAACCAGCTAATTGTGATTTTGCGGATTATATCAAATTAACAAATTATAAAATGCCACCCTACAATTACATACGTTAAATACACATAATATGTATTCGTGCAGCGTGCACTTATACTATGCGCTTAGTCTTATGTTCCTCAAATAAATAGAAACATAATATAATAGTTGAGCTATTATATTAAAAGTCTGATGGGCAAGAAAAAAAATCGTATTACCTACTGTGAAATTTGTTTTTATAAATTAATTATATTTCRAAAATAATATTCACATTTTTAAATCTAAAATCAATTATTAAAAACTTAAATTATTTAATAATATTTAGAATTATTAAATTATATACGTTATTGACAATTTGAAATTTTCTCGAAGAAAAGTGTACCATCGGTTTATGAAGTATTCGAATACCATTTTTCATAAGTATTTGAATAATTATACTATATTAATGGTAAAATGTCACCCGGACTCTGGCATTAATACAATTTGCTGCTTAACAATRAACTGCGCGTCTCGTTTCAGCTGCAGGAATTGCTACGTATCATATTATATTTTCGTTGGACATCGAATTATTATTATTTTTTTTYCTGACTGGTTGTAAACAGTTTCACACCAATCGGAATCGTCTTCGAACTCTTCACGTACATGTATAATATCCTGATTATATAACAATRATCTGCAGTTGTACGGTGAAACAATAGTTAAAACTTGACAAAAAAAATCTAATGCTTTGGTTATGATATCATGATATAATAATATAATAGTGATATTATTTATAAGTAATTGGTAATATTGAATTATTAAAAATTAGAAATACATTAGRCGTAAGAAATATTTGTTTTTCTACGCGGTGGGTGGTGGTTGAATAAGTTCAAAAGCTCTTTATTTGTTTCCTGCAAGAGCACGTGTGCGAGACTTAATATAAGTAGAGGTAACGTTCTTTATCACTGTTCGAATTCTATACCTAGCTATTATTTTCTATAATTATTATAAAAAGCAGATAAATATAGCAGAGTATATTATTTTCCGAGTATTGTAAATTTCATATTACGCATATTATATACTGAATATTTAACATTTAATATTTTCTATTCCCAGTTTGAGGTACTATTTGTTGATTTTAATWTTTAAATAAAATCTGATTTATTTAATGCTTTTTGCGAATCATAAAAGAAATTATAAGAGAAAAAACTAAAAGTGAACACATAACAAATGTACCTATTCATATATTTGTTTTAAATAATATTTTGAATAGCATATTATTTAGTATATATACTGWTTTAAGTATCAATATAAATCTAAAATGTGATTATTATATATTATAATGTAATACCTATGTAAAAATAATGGTTATAGGTATTATTTTTCTYATTATTCGKGGTTATATTTTCTTTGTTTTATGGTACTTAGGTATATTACATTATATTTATCTTAAAAGTACTTTGAAGTCGTTTTTTGAATGTTATATTTTCTTTTTACAATTGGTGAGGACGTTGCTTGTAAAATAATCAAATCAAATTTTTTTTTTTTWAATCAAACGCTGATAAACGTCGATTTYCATATCGGAAAAATGTATYAAAACATCTGCACATGTTTAAACACGAGCAAATTGCACAGCGCACTATAAGATTACAATAATAATTCACCCAGGTACAATCGAAAATAAGTTTAATCTATAATATTATAATGATGTGAATTCAATTAAAAACTATGGACGCGTTGTGTGCGTGTCTGCGCGTTATCAGATTCCTATATTATTAATAACTAGCGTTTTGAAAATGATCGATCACCAATTTTAACTTGAGATCAGCACAATACATTCYATCAGTTTCTACCATAATATTATTGTTATACGGTGTTGCGTTGTTTTTATGCAAATCTGTGTGGCCGAACGATTGACCGAGATGGAAGATTGTTTCATATAGTTTCGTGAACTGTGTGTGCGATGATCGGATGCAAACATAATTATTCCGTGTCCGATTATTACAAAACGTTTTTTTATTATTTTTTTTTTTACAATATCACATCATTATAATTATGTTTTAACGTGATACCTATTCATAATAATATGTAATTCTAGACTTCGAGACCGAGAGGTTAATGAGTCGTTACACTTTGAGTCGCGTTCTTGAATATACCAACATTAATATTATAAGCACGGAAAAAAAATATAATATTTTATTAGATAATGTAAAATAATACTTCCACTAACTRTATTATAAAATATTGATAGTGATATAATTATTCATATTTTTTATAATAATAATAATTTATATTATTATTATCTACTTGCCATAAGCCACCTGGTTGAATTTTTGTAGGTGTTAGTATGGTCTTGTATCGTCATAATAATAACAAATAATGCAATACCTACATAACTTTAAATATTTTATCAATATGTATAACAATAATACATTGGTATATTATAAAATATWATAATATATTTTGCATAACTAAGTATTTTGTTTACAGGGAAAACTGGAAGTTACTGCTCTCCAAAATGGTCAAGCCCAACATCAAAGTTATTTGCCTTAATGCGTAAGTATGAAGTCCTCATTTCTGTTTCGGTAGAAAACTATTAGAACAAACTTAGGATAAAAAGTTTCTCTTGTTCAGTCTCAAAGCTTAAACACTTGGATCAAATTACCAAACTAAACATATCGTTATARGTAAAACAAATTAAATACCTAAGTAAAATGATGAAAAAAATAAAAACCAAAATAGATTCTAAATTATCGTTGTTATTGAAAAATTTAGTTTAACAAGCATATTTTTTTTCAAGTGACTTAAACTAAAAATTCAAATTTTATAACAGAACGCAAGTAATAGGATTTATTAACGAACATTTATGAGTATATATACCACAAAAATTAAAAACAATGATATTATGCAAGTGCAAGTTCACACGAGCACAAAATATCGTATCAGTCGATGTCCAAAAAGTGTGACCAAACTGATGACTATAGGCACCATCGTTTATTTACTAAGTACCAATCAAATAACTCTATCTTTTTTTTTAAATAGTTTTTTTTTTCGATACTCATGTGTAACGAATATCATAACAAACTTCTACTGAAATTCAAAATTTTTTTCTTATACAATGTGAATACTATTTTGAAAATATTAACGTTAAAGTTAGTTCTAAAGGTCACTGCAAAGTCATATTAATCGTTTTCTTTGACTAACGAATGAAAGCTCTCATGCGTCACTTAGATAAGTACTTATATATTTCTTTGAACCACAGGAAGAAAATTCCACTCACATTGAACAAGGGTTTCCCGACGGCTGCGTGGTTTGATCTGGCGTCGCTGGACGAAAACAAGTTGGAAGATGAGACGAGCATTATGCGGGCCGTGGACAATTTACACGACATCATTGACGAGGAGATCGCTACGTCGAAAGTGTCATCCACCAAGACCATGTTGGCCGGTTTTTCTCAAGGTGGCGCCCTGGCAATGTATGCCGCTCTGACCTACCACAAACGGCTCGCCGCCGTCTTGGCAATGTCCAGCTGGCCAGTGATCCGGCATACCCTGCCCGAAGTGAGTATACTTAAACGATTTGATCTTTATAAAAGGGGGGATACTTGAATTAAATGAAAAATAAAATACGCTRCAACTGCCCATTCAAAAACATTAAAATTCAAAATGAAATCAATTTTTACTATTTATTTTAATACTCTGTTCATGGAAAGAACATGATGTAATAATTATAACGATGTGTGTAAGCAGCAGTATAACGAAACACATTAATAATAATAACAGTAACAGTGAAAAGAAARGACATTAAAAAGAAGAAAAACAAAATATAATTTTATATATAAATTAAAGAGCGAATGTGGAAAATAAAGCTGAAATAAAGGATAAATGTTTTTGGTACATTAAATGAATTATCAAAGTTAAAGTGAATTACAAAAATGTAGCATTCTGTGTATAGTGTGGTTCTAGTTTGAACGATGAAAAGGGACGTAGAACAATKAGTGTGTTGCATAAGCAAGAAATAGGGACACAAAAAGAAATATAAGACAGAAGATTAGGGGCATCGATTGAGTCGTTTATGAAAGAGAAGATAAATTCAGTATTATTTTGCATTCTCCACACTAGTCCTTCGTTCTCGTTTGTAAGTTGTGGCTGGGAGTTGAAAAAATACGACACCGCATTATTAAATTGGAGCGCGTATAACCGATTCAAGTCCGTTGATCTCCTACCAAAACTGCAATAGGCAGCAACTGTCACCGCGGTTACTTAACAATTTTTTTTATTCTGTTTTCAAATCAGGCGGCCGTCAACAACACCAACATACCAATGTTACAGTGTCACGGAACCGAAGATCCGGTCATTTACTACAAATGGGGCTTAATTTTGTCGGACGTACTCAAAGAGATGAACCCCAACAAGTACGAGTTTAAGTCGTACGAGGGTTTGATGCACGCCGTTAACGATCAGGTACGAAAAATTCTCGTATAAATTATTATGCATTACAGTTATTGTTGTTGTTAACTCTATCGTTTCGGAAAGAAAATAATATATTAATTTCGTTTCGTCGATATGAACCTCGTAAATAAAATATTACATTTAACCAATGTTATCGGTGATTTAGCTGTAAAAATATTATTTAGAATGTACGCCTAAATTCATCGTACCTGTTGAATATAAAAACATCCCTACTAATCCTACTAATGACTTAATTGGTACATAATATTGAAAAGTTCGCAATATTAATTTAAAAAATTGCGTACGTAAGTGGACATCCTGAGAAAATTTTTTTTTATTTTTTATCAATTTCTTTTTAGTTTTTTAATAATACGTTATACAGCCTTTAGATTTTGATTACTGAGTGAAACATTTCTCTGATACATATTGAGAAATTACCAAAGATTTAATTTTCACTTAAATTCAAGGCGGTAGCAGGTTATACCACGATATTCGTKTTAATTCGAAAAAAATTCACTGCATCACCGCTTGTTTTGTATATATTCTATCTATTATTTGGTTACTTACACGACATCGATAAATTTGTTTATTTTTTT